AGACTGAGCCACTGAGCCGAGGGTGAGAGAGAGTCAGTGAAAGTGTGAACTGTGAAGTCAAAGTGTCCACTGATGCGTTGCGTTTTGGGTCTGGGAGTGAGGGAGGGAGTGACCAAGATATTTTGAAAAATAGGAGGAAAATAAAAAATAGAAAAAAAAGGATAAAAATTTAAAATATATATTTGGTTATTCGGTTATAACCGAACTTTTTTTATGCACACCGAACCGAACACCGAAAACCGAAATAACTGGAAAAAAAAAAACCGAATTAACCGAACCGAAAAACCGAATTAATTTCGGTTCGGTTCGATTTTCGGTTTCGGTTCGGTTTTGCTCACCCCTAAGAATATCATTAATAATTCAATCCAAAGTGAATTGATAAAAACTATAAAATATTTTTATTTGAATATATTTTGTAAAAAATAATTTTTATGAAAATATTAACAAAAATGTGAGTGGGAAAAAAATAACCTGGACCAATCACAGTCGGTCCTCGCATTAATCATTGTCGGCGTTTGCTTATTTTTTTTCTGTTATTGAATGGCAAATGACAACTAGCTAGCCTGCGGTTCTGTTTTTATCACAAAAAGAAAGGGGGGAAAGCCTTCTGTCCCATCATTTTATTCTTGAAATTAAATCAGAAGAGTATGTATAAACTTAAACAATGTCAATCAATTAATATCAAATTGCTCTCGATCTCAAAAGATATGATCCTGTCAACAAAATGTCAAGGAATGGACTGATGTTTTTTTTACTGCCGAAATCAAGTATGGGTACATTTCGTACAGTAAAGTTTTTTTTATAATGGGAAAAAATAAATAAAATAAATCAGTGACAAAATCTCTCAACAAGCTTAATGTGCGATACTTGCGGTTCCATAGAGAAATTCCCCTTCATTCAGTGTTTCTCTGAATTAACGGTAAACAAACTGTGACTTTAGATAATCATAAAGTGACACTAGTTAAAAGTAAGATTGATACGCAAATTTTTTACAATATAGTCTTTTCTTATTTACAGGATAATTTGTTTTTATTTATAAGATAAATTGTGAAGTTTGAGAATTAATTAATATTTTTTCTTAATATGCACCTACTGAATGTATGAAATTGAAAAGACTTATTGTAGTTGGCAAAAAAGAAAAGACTTGTTATACATTCTAAACTTCTCATTAATTAAATTAGTAATAAAATAGGCATAAAAGGGGGAAAAAAGTAAATTTAAAACATGAATTACTGGAACAAGGAAACGGAAAAGGGGGTGATGAGAACTATTTTTGGCACACATGTTTTCCTGTTTTGTCTTTTTGGAAGTGTTTAGAATCCAAAAGCAATTAACAATATATTTTTACGTTAAGACAAAAGTTTTTTTATATACTTATTTTATATACTGTAAAATTATTTTTAAAAAATTAATTTAAAAACCCTGAAATTTTAAGTCAAATTGAAATGACTTGAGATCATACCTACCCGCACTCAAATTAAAAAGATAAGAATTCTATTATGCTTTTGTTTTTTCAATCTTTTTTAAGATTACAATTGTATGAGTGCCACGTTTCCCCCAAAAAAAATAAAAATGTTGTCTCAGTGTTTCGTGTTTGGATAATTTCTCTGCACACGCTCTGTAAACCAGGCGTTCTATCATCAAAGCTAAGCCTAACAAGCCAGTTGATGGAGGTGCTGTAGCCGCGGCCTAACACTTGTATATGTATATAACTTCACTCTGCTTGCTTGAATCAGAAGTTGAAGCTTGAATTGAAGCTATAACCCATATGGGAATCCATATCTCTTTCTTGCTTCTTATTCCCTTCCTCTTAATATTATTGTTCCTTGGGCTAACAAGGCCAAAGAATGATAAAGCTAAGATTCAAATCCCAGGGCCATGGAAGCTTCCTGTTTTGGGAAACCTTCATCAGTTATTAGCAGCAGCAAGGTCGTCACCTCCACACCATACCCTTCGAGAGCTGTCTCTCAAGTACGGACCTCTCATGCACCTTCAAATTGGTGAGCTTTCTACAGTTGTTGTCTCATCCCCAGATATGGCCAAGCAGATCATGAAGACCCATGATCTTGCCTTTGTTCAGAGGCCTCAGATTTCCAGTGCCAAGATTTTTGCTTATGGATCAACTGACATAGCTTTTGCTCCTTATGGTGATTATTGGAGACAGATGAAAAAAGCATGTATTTTAGAACTCTTAAGTGCCAAGAAGGTCCAGTCATTCTCCTATGTCCGACAAGATGAGGTACTGATCTTTTAATAAGATTACAATTTCTTATTAGATACTCTAGCAGGATAATTAGATCGATAGTTATTATATTTCCGCATTAGTTTGAACCCTTTAAGCTTGTTATTGCATCAGGTGTCTAAGTTGATAGGGTCAGTTCGATCATCAGTAGGTTCGGTTGTTGATCTCACGGACAAGATTTACTCTTTGACAAGTGCTATAGTTACAAAGGTTGCTTTTGGCAACGAACAAGAAGAGCTTCTGCAACCACTCTATGCAGCAATAGAAGCGGGTGCGTATCATTTTCTTGATGTCTTCCCTTCACTGAAACATGTTCCTCTCATAACTGCGATGGAAGAAGCAAAGTTGGTGAAGATTCATAAGAAGATAGACAAGATTTTAGAGGATATTCTCAAGGAGAATCAGAAGAAGCAGATCAGAGCAGCAGGAGGAGGAGGCTGTGAGATTACTGGTTCTGGGGAAGAAAATCTTGTTCAGGTTCTCTTGCGAATCCAGCAAAGTGGAAGTCTTGATATCACAATCACAAATGACAACATCAAAGCTGTTATTTGGGTCAGTGCTCCTTATCTACTATGTTGATCTACCATAAAAGTTGATTCTTTTTTGTTTAAAGAAATTATATATGTGTGGGTGTATTTTGAGTCACACAAGGTAGCCAGTTCGCAGCTACATGGGTTTGATGATGCTTATGATCAATTTGTTTGGCATAATTACTGTAGGATATGTTCGGTGCTGGAACGGATACTTCATCAACAACAACAGAGTGGGCTATGTTAGAAATGATGAGAAATCCTAAAGTGATGGAGAAGGCACAAACTGAGATAAGAAAAGCTTTTAAGGGAAAGAAAGTCATTCATGAAAGTGACATGGAACAAGTTAGTTACTTGAAATCAGTAATCAAAGAAACTCTGAGACTGCACCCTCCTGCTCCTTTGTTGGTGCCAAGGGAATGCAGAGAAAATTGCAAGATTAATGGCTTTGACATACCCATTAAAACTCAAGTTGTAGTAAATGTTTGGGCAATTGGAAGAGATCCAAGCCATTGGTATGATGCTGAGAGTTTTATACCAGAGAGGTTCCAAGGCGATTGTAATATTGATTTCAGAGGAACAAATTTTGAGTACATCCCTTTTGGAGCTGGAAGAAGAATGTGTCCAGGGATTTCATTTGGTTTAGCAAGCATTGAGCTTCCTCTAGCTAGTTTGCTGTACCACTTTGATTGGGAACTGCCATATGGAATGAAATCAGAGGATTTAGACTTGACTGAAATCATGGGCATTACCGCAAGAAGGAAGGCCAAGCTCTGCTTGATTCCAAAACTGTACAATATTGATCCTCTTTGTGACAGTTCTTGATGAAGTATGGTGCTCTGTGTGCATAGGAATTGTGGAAATAATGTTATGTTGGACAATAACATAAAAAGCCTTTAATTTCTTTGCTAAGCAGAGTTCATGATAGATCAGCCTTTGTCCTTGAATGGGCCTGGGCGGTTTATTTCATGCCGTATCATTGGATTCCCTATAATGTATCCCCATGTATATCTAAGAGGCTTGTTTGAGCTCGCTTGCTTGAATTTTGATTACATTATGGAAGGTGAGTTATATATATACTCTTTCTAGTCCTTAATATAAGATCATAAGATATTAGTCCATTTTGTCTTCTAAATTTATAATTTATTTTTTAAAGTATCCCAATTGAGTATTTATATTAAGGGAGTTTCCATTCAAGAATAAATGATGATTAAAAATAATCTTTTAGGAAAATCAACTTGTTACACATAACTAACTAAATTAATTTCATTAATGTATCCAAATTAGTTAACAACTCTTAATGGGTATTATTTTACTTTTCAAAACCACACTAGGAAAAATGTTATGAAGTACAGATTTTGGGAGTAATGGTCTGGTAAAGCAGCCCAATATATAGAACCAGTCCCTCGCAGGTGTGATATCGAAAGGGGAATTACAATTTTTTGCAGAAGCTACATTTTGTTATCCTTGAAGCAAATACAAGCCAAAATCAAAGTCGCCATAATGGTTTGGTTCACTCTGAAACATTGCTAATGGACCATAATCGTCGATTCTATATTCTATAGGATCAGTAGTCACTCCGGAAAGAATAGAACAAAATATAATGGCATATAAGAAAGTGTGCAACCACGTAAATTCTGCATCTCATTTCCGCATGCACGCCCAATTTTCTTTCCTGCTTTATATCTCCTTCTTCCTCTGGCTTCCCAAGCCAAAACGTAAAGCTAGGATTCAAATCCCCAGGGGTTGGCTCAAAGTATATATGTATCTGAAAATCGCTTTTGTCTCGACCATGAATCTGATAACATATGACGCAATCCTAGCAATGAGCCTGGTTAGTCCTCAAGTGTATGCATTCACAAGAGCACAAGCACAAGGAGGCGCGTACAAAATCCAAGTTTCATTGTCCGGGTTTGAATTCTGTATTTTGATTTTGTTTATTGTGATGACTTGAATCAATTTACTTTTATTTATCAACTAATTTAACTGTTTGGCTAGTTTCTAAAACAAAATCTATCCCGCCAAACTTATCTCATCATTGTCATCCTTTTAGGCGAAGCTTTTTTTTTTTTTTGTTATCTAAAAAAACAATTACTAATGGTTTAAGATTGCAATTAAATAAACCTACCACTTCTTACTTATAGGACAATGTTCATTACTATTATAGGACAATGTTCGTTACTATTGGGCTATTAGACCATTGTTTAAATAAACCAAAGCTGGTGAAGATGCGTGATAATATAGGCAAAATTTTAGATGATATTATCAAGGAGAACCGGCAGAAGCAGATGAGAGCAGAAGGAGGCAAGAGTGCTTCGGAGGAAGAAAATCTTGTTCAGGTTCTTCTACGAATCCAGCGAAGTGAAAACCTTGACGTCCCAATCACAGCCGACAACATCAAAGCTGTTATTTGGGTTAGTACTCCTTACTTATATGTTGCTCTGCCATTACATATCTAGGAAGAAATCAAATGCTTGTGTCTGCGCGAGACCGAAAGCAAGTCAATAATACCCAAGGCAGTTAGATCTAGAAAACGACAAAGCACCCAATTTAATTTTGAATCTAATGTATCTTCAGGTTTGATAATGTTAATGATCACTTTGTGTCGTCATTGCAGGATATATTCATTGGTGGAACCGATACTTCGGCAACAGTGCTGGAATGGGCCATGTCAGAAATGATGAAAAATCCTAAAGTGATGGAAAAGGCGCAAGCTGAGGTTAGAAACGTTTTCAAAGGGAAGAAAGTAATTCGTGATAGTGATATGATTCAACTTAGTTACTTAAAACTAGTGATCAAAGAAACTTTGAGGCTGTACCCGCCTGTTCCTTTGTTGGTTCCAAGAGAATGTAGAGAAACCAGCAAGATTAGTGGCTATGAAATACCCATCAAAACTCAAATTATAATAAATGCATGGGCACTTGGAAGAGATCCAAATTACTGGTACGATGCAGAGAGGTTTATACCAGAGAGGTTCCAAGGCAATGATTCTGATATTGATTTCAAAGGAACGAACTTTGAGTACATCCCTTTCGGAGCAGGAAGAAGAATGTGTCCAGGCATTTCATTTGGCTTAGCAAACGTTGAGCTTCCTCTGGCTTGCTTACTCTACCACTTCGATTGGAAACTCCCACATGGGATGGAACCTGAGGATTTAGATATGACTGCGGCTGCTGCAATCACAAACAAAAGGAAGAACAATTTGTGTTTGATTGCCACACCATACAATACTGATTCTGTTATTGGCAGCTCCTAGTGAAAGCACGTACCCACCCACAATAGTAGTCTCTTGATCTCCTTGTTCTTTACTATCATGCGATGTGGGTATGGATTATATTTTGGATTTGGAACAATAACTTGTCCCCTTCAAAGATAGGTCAACAAAACGGAATCTTTACATATGTGTAAGAATGTTCGAAAATGCGTATGGTGAATCCTGAGGTTTTATTTAGTACTATGAACTGTTGTACTTAAATGGATCGAAGTTACCTGCCCTGTATCTCGGTCGATTATGTAAACTTGAAATCTGATACATGCTTCTTTTACTTTTGTTATCTAACGAGTTGATTGTGGTGTAATTTTGAGTGTTAAATAGTAGAAGGATTAATTGTAAATTTGACTACGTGAGTATAATAAACAATAGATGACTATTTTAAGAGGCGAAAGCGAAGCACAGGCTGCCACCACCAAGCCGTGATGTGGTTTTGACCACAGCTTATTGGACCATGATGAAGGCGATAGTGCTGCTAGCCAAAAGAAAGGGAGGCATGATAATTACTTCCCCTAAAGTTATCTATAATTAAGAAACAATTGAGTGCATCATATAAATCAAGTAACATAATTAGAAGTATGAGATTTAATTTCTTTTTTCAAAATACCCTCCACAGAGATTTATCCTTTATTGCTAACTTTTTATAATGTACAATCTTTTCTTTTCTTTTTTTCAAATTTGCTTATATAACTATCTAATTTTAATATGAATGATCTAGATTTGATGCTCATCCCTTCAAACTAAATCCAATGTTTTTCATCACGCAACAATTGTCCACCAATAACCCTTAAGCGCTAGAGCTCTCCTTCCATATGGGAAATAAGGATGGAGAACTTGGACACAAATTTTTCTTTTTACTTCCTAATTTCACACGCACAGATAGGGATTTGGCCGACCCACATAAAATTGAGCTTATTTATTTCTTGAAAAAATATGTATGGTATTATAATACTACCTCCGATCCTTAATATAAGACCCAATTTGACTTTTATATTGGTATTAAATATAAGATCCCAATCTATTTTATCTCTCATATTTACTCAATTTTTTTCAAGATAGTCTTTCTAACAATTATAGTTTTAACCAACATACTTGATTAGTAAGGATATTTTAGGAAAGACAATATCTATTTATTACAAATAACTAACTTAACTTTTTTTTTTTTAATTTTCTCAAATTAGTCGACTGGCTCTTATAATTAGGAACGGAAGTAGTATTGTTCTTGATATATACAATAAATTTTTAGTGTTTACATAAGTTTTTAACTCGAACCCATTCGTCCTAGATCAGCACATGTTAGCTTCAAGCAGAACCATGATCAGACAAGACATTGCGGTGGGCTTGTGACTTGGGCATCATCTCATAAGTGGGCTGCCTCCTCTCATCCAGATCAGGCCACAACTTCTTCACAATCTCATTTTGCTTCTGTTTGGGATACCGCCCTCTAACCGATGAGATTGCGTCGTTACTGCTACACAACGTAAATAAAAATAAAAAAAATTCAATTTCTTATTAGAAGAGGTACCCGTAAAGTGTCTGACAGTATCTCGAATATGATTAGTTTTAATATAAAGATATCTATTCGGAAAAAAAAATATCACCCTCTCCACTTATGCGCGATCCGTCAATTGCCATTTCCTTATGGGTGAGGCGTCTTGGCGGTCCATATCTCGGGATGTTTCAACCTTTGGTGATATTTACCTCGTAACCGTGAGGTTTTGGCTTGTTCTCATAAATTTATTGAAATAATCTATACATTTTTAATCTTGTTTTATATTTTAATTTAAATCTACTAAAACCGAAAATGTATATTCTTATCAGTACCTTCATTTTTCTTTTCTATTATTAGCATAATTATTGACTTTGATTTTGACATAATGCTTTGAAGACCCTCACCATTTTTCCTTTGATGAGCACCCTCACCATTTTTTTGGGGTGCAACTTGGACCCTCTTTATTGTCATATTTTTCACTTCTCACTCTATTTCTTCATGGCCATTTCATACTCTCTAAATATGAATTTATTCTAGACTATTTTGTGATTTATTTCAGTAGCTTAAAATATTTTGTAGTAAATCTAAATAATAACCCTAGATATACTTTCCACATGAATTTAAATGGAATTTTAGACCTTAGGAAGAGGAGTAAGAATATCATTAATAATTCAATCTTAAGTGAATTGATAAAAAAATATAAAATATTTTTATTTGAACTATATTTTGTAAAAAAATAATTTTTATGAAAATATTAACAAAAATGTGAGTGGGCAAAAAAATAACAAGCACCAATCACAGTCGGTCGTCGCATTAATCATTGTCGGCATTTGCTTGTTTTTTTCTGTTATTGAATGGCAAATGACGACTGCTCTTGCTTTCCATCTAAAACCTGTCTCTTCCTTTTTTTAATCACATCGATCGGTTGCTTCTTTTGACGTCTGTTTCTGCACTAAAGAATCTAGGCACACTCGAAACCACAATTTTAAGGAGATAAGAAATCTGAACCTGTTTCATTAGTGGCCACATGTTTATCCGATATTATTCTCATATATATTCACTCACTGCTACACACAAACAGACAGAAATATATACTCACAAACGTTGCTTGAATATACGTGCGTCAGTTAGAAGGCAAACCCATATGGAGTACCAGTTTTCCCCATTGCTTCTTGTTTCCTTCATCATCTTGTTCTTGACGTTCCTTTGGCTTAGAAAGCCAAGAAATAAGGCGCAGACTAAAATCCCAGGGCCATGGAAGCTTCCTCTGCTGGGAAATCTTCATCAGTTGGCAGCAGCAGAGTCACCACTTCCACAGTGTGCCCTTCGAGAGCTATCTCTCAAGTATGGGCCTCTCATGCACCTTCAACTTGGTGAGATTTCAACAGTGGTTGTGTCATCCCCAGATCTGGCCAAGCAGATTATGAAGACGCATGATCTTGCCTTTGTTCAGAGGCCACAAGCTTCTATTGCTAGTAAGATTTTCACGTACGGAAGAACCGACATTGCTTTTGCTCCTTACGGTGATTATTGGAGACAGATGAGGAAAATATGTATTTTGGAGCTCTTCAGCGCCAAAAAGGTTCAGTCATTCTCCTATGTACGAGAAGATGAGGTACACACAATTTACATAATATCTTCTGCCAACATTCGATTATTTTATCTTATTTTAGATATTTGATGTGGAGAACTCTGGACTCTTGGCATTACATGGAAAGACATTTACTAAGAAATCCCTTGTTCATCATTCTAGTTAAACACTGACTGTAACTTTCGGATATTATTAATTTTTGGGCATCACTTATCAATTCGTGCATGTAAAGAGTTACGTATCTAAAAGATTAGTTGTTGATAAAGTAGAATAATGGATCCTCGCAGCCACTCCTACTATATAACATAAGTTATTTATTTTTCGATTTTAAATATGAGATTAATTTTGTAAAATAATTTATATTACAAAATAAATCTTATATTTAGAAACGAAAAAGTAACATTTAGTTTAGATATTCAACATCAAAACGCGGCTTCTCTCCTCTACCCTTAGGGTGTGTTTGGTATGAGGGATTTGGGTGGGAGGGGAGAGAAGGGGAGGGATTTTAATCATTTCCCCTTGTTTGGTAACACACAAATTTTAGGAGGGGAGGGAAAATTTTTTAAAATTTCCCCTCCCCTCCCCTCTTCAATCTCCCCTCCAAAATTGGGAGGATTTGGAGAGAAATGGCAATATTTTGTCATATTATGACCATTATACTCATATTTTGTCATGTTGTGACCATTATGCCCACGCCTTAAATAAAATAAGAGTAAAATTGTCCATATTAAAATATTTTCCCCTCCCCTCCCCTCTTTTTTTATAAATCCAAACAAGATAATATTAAAATCCTTTCACTCCCCCCCTCCTCTTCCCTTATTAAAATCCCTCCCCTTCCATTCTCTCATTGAGCCAAACATACCCTTACTGTCCGCCCCCACCCGCCATCCTTTACCCCCAGTTTTGGGGCAAAACAAGAGAGGGAAATAAAAAAATTCGGCCCCTTAAAATATTTTTCAATGTTATTCAGTATCTTAAATTAATTATTAGCGTGCTCAGCATACTAAAATATTTTTCTACTACCGTTCAATATCTAACATTTATCACTCTGAAATGTTTTTCAGTAGCACCTAATATTTTAAAAAAATTTATCAGTAATACCCAATATGTAACATCATCACACAAGTAGTTTTTCATTAGTACCTAGTATTCTAAGTAAATTTTTAGTACATTTAACATCTCAAAATATTTTTTCAGTAACACTTAATATGTGAAAGTAATTTTTGTGTAATATTTTAGGGTGTTGGATGTATCAAAATTTAGTTTAAAATCCTAGGCACTGCTGAAAGATACTTTATTTTGTTGGATGTTAGAGAGTGAGTGTTATTGAAAAAAAATATTTTAACATGCTAAGTGGATTAAAAATTATTTTAAAATACTGGATATTAGTAGAATATACTTCAGAGTGATAGGTTTTAGATAATGAGTGTCAGTAGAGAAATATTTTAATATGATGAGTGCACTAACAATTAATTTAAGGTGCTAGATCACATCGAAAAAATATTTTAGAGATCAAGATTTAAAAAAAAAAAATCCACCTCCTTTGTTTTGCCCCTAAACGACGTGGTTTTGAGGGTAGAGACTAAAGATTGGCACCGGACAGAGGAGAGAAGCCGCATCCATTCAACGACAGTTATTTATTTTTTGGGAAAATCTCAAAAAAATGATAGTTGAATTTCAAAATTCTAAATCAGTATTTATTACTACACTCATAAAAAAAATGACTATATTCAAAGAGTAAATGACAACTCATTTTTACAGTAATTCCTGATTTGGTATTTTAAAATTCAATAGTCATTTTTTTGGGATTTTCTCTTATTTGTTTCTCGCAGCAGCTTCTGATACGAATCCTTAATAAGATTACGATTTCCAAGGAAATATTCCAGTATGACTAGATTGAGATTTCTTCATTAACGTTTGCCTCATTTCATCAGGTGTCTAAGCTTATAGAGTCGGTTCAATCATCAGTAGGTTCGGTTTTCGACCTCACGAACAAGATGTACTCATTGACTAGTTCTGTAGTTATGAGGGTAGCATTTGGCGACAAGCATAAAGATCAAGAACAGCTATTGCAATTACTCACTGCAGTATTAGAACAAATTAGCGGGTTTAAACTTGTTGATTTGTTTCCTTCCTTGAAACTCATTCATCTCATAACTGGAGTGGAAGCAAAGCTGGCGAGGATCCGTGAGCATATGGACAAAATTTTAGATGATATTATCAAGGAGAATCAACAGAAGGAGATGAGAGAAGAAGGGGGCAAGAGTGCTTCGGAGGAAGAAAATCTGGTTCACGTTCTTCTACGAATCCAGCGAAGTGAAAACCTTGACGTCCCAATCACAGCTGACAACATCAAAGCTGTTATTTGGGTTAGTACTCCTTACTTATATGTTGCTCTGCCATTACATATCTAGAAAGAAATCAAATGCTTCTGTCTGCGCGAGACCAAAAGCGAGCCAATAGTACCGAAGGCAGTTAGAGCTAGAAAACGACAAAGCACCCAATTTAATTTTGAATCTAATGTATCTTCAGGTTTGATAATGTTAATGATCACTTTGCGTCGTCATTGCAGGATATGTTCTCAGCTGGAACCGACACTTCGGCAACAGTACTAGAATGGGCCATGTCAGAAATGATGAAAAATCCTAAAGTGATGGAAAAGGCGCAAGCTGAGGTTAGAAACGTTTTCAAAGGGAAGAAAGTAATTCGTGATAGTGACATGATTCAACTCAGTTACTTAAAACTAGTGATCAAAGAAACTCTGAGGCTGTACCCGCCTGTACCGTTGTTGGTTCCAAGAGAATGTAGAGAAACCTGCAAGATTAGTGGTTATGAAATACCCGTCAAAACTCAAATTATAATAAATGCATGGGCACTTGGAAGAGATCCAAATTACTGGCATGATGCAGAGAGGTTTATACCAGAGAGGTTCCAAGGCAATAATTCTGACATTGATTTCAAAGGAACAAACTTTGAGTACATCCCTTTCGGAGCAGGAAGAAGAATGTGTCCGGGCATTTCATTTGGCTTAGCAAGCGTTGAGCTTCCTCTGGCTAGCTTACTGTACCACTTCGATTGGAAACTCCCACATGGAATGGAACCTGAGGATTTAGATATGACTGCGGCTGCTGCAATCACAAACAAAAGGAAGAACAATTTGTGTTTGATTGCCACACCATACGATACTGATTCTGCTATTGGCAGCTCCTAATGAAAGCACGCACCCACCCCCATAGTACTTTCTCTTTCTATCTCCTTGTTCTTTACTATCATGCGATGTGGGTATGGATTATCTTTTGGATTTGGAACAATAACTTATCCCCTTCAAAGGCGGGTCTATAAAATGGAATCTTCACATTTGCATAAAAATGTTCGAAAATGCGTGCTGAAACCTGAGGTTTCATTTAGTAGCATGAAATGTTGTACTTAAATGGATTGAAGTTACCTCCCCTGAATCTTGTTCGATTATGTAAACTTGAAATCTGACACATGCTTCCCTTACTTTTGTTATCTAATGAGTTCATTGTGGTGTAATGTTACATAACTTTTTAACTTGAACCCATTCGTCCTAGATCAGCATATGTTAGCTTCAAGCAGAACCATGATCAGACAAGACATTGCGGTGGGCTTGTGATTTGGGCATCATCTCATAAGTGGGCTGCCGCCTCCCATCAAGATCAGGCCACAAATTCTTCACAATCTCATTTTGCTTATGCTTTGGATATCGCCCTATAACCAAATAAGATTGGGTTTAACGGGGTTAGTCCTATACACAATGTAAATAATCAAAACTCAATTTCTTGCTAGGAGAGGTATTCACAAGTCGCAAAGTGTCTTACAGTATTTCAAATAAAATTATTTTTAATATAAAGACACTTATGCCTGAGAAAAAAAATATCACCCTCTCCGCTTATACGTGATCTGGTAGGTCATGCATCAATTGCTACTTCCTTATGAGCGAAGCGTCCCAGGCGGTCCATATCTCGGGAAGATTTCAACCTCCTGTGATATTTGTGTCGTGACCGTGAGGCTTTGGCTTGTTCCCATAAGTTTATTGAAATAATCTATACATTTTAATCTTGTTTTATATTTTAATTTAAATATACTAAAACCGCAAATGTATATTCTTATCATTACCTTCATTTTTCTTTTCTATTATTAGCATAATTATTGACTTTGATTTTGACATAATCCTCCGCCCTCACCATTTTTTTGGGGTGCAACTTGGCCCCCTTTTATTGTCATATTTTTCACTTCTCACTCTATTTCTTCATGGCCATGTCATACTCTCTAAATATGAATGTATTCTAAACTATTTTGTAATTTATTTCAGTACCTTAAAATAGATTTTTAGTTGCATTGCATGTTCTAAAATATTTTGTAGTAAGTCTAAATAATAAACCTAGGTATACTTTCCATATGAATTTCAATGGAATTTTAGACTTTAGGAAGAGGAGTAAGAATATCATTAATAATTCAATCTTAAGTGAATTGATAAAAAAATATAAAATATTTTTATTTGAATATATTTTGTAAAAAATAATTTTTATGAAAATATTAACAAAAATGTGAGTGGGAAAAAAAAAATAACCTGGACCAATCACAGTCGGTCCTCGCATTAATCATTGTCGGCATTTGCTTATTTTTTTTTCTGTTATTGAATGGCAAATGACAACTAGCTAGCCTGCGGTTCTGTTTTTATCACAAAAAGAAAGGGGGGAAAGCCTTCTATCCCATCATTTTATTCTTGAAATTAAATCAGAAGAGTATGTATAAACTTAAACAATGTCAATCAATTAATATCAAATCGCTCTCGATCTCAAAAGATATGATCCTGTCAACAAAATGTCAAGGAATGGACTAATGTTTTTTTTTTACTGCTGAAATCAAGTATGGGTACATTTCGTACAGTAAAGTTGTTCTTATAATGGGAAAAAATAAATAAAATAAATAAGTGACAAAATCTCTCAACAAGCTTAATGTGCGTGACTTGCGGTTCCATAGAGAAATTCCCCTTCATTCAGTGTTTCTCTGAATTAACGGTAATCAAACTGTGATTTTAGATAATCATAAAGTGACACTAGTTAAAAGTAAGATTGATATGCAAATTTTTTACAATATAGTCTTTTCTTATTTATAGGATAATTTGTTTTTATTTATAAGATAAGTTGTGAAGTTTGAGAATTAATTAATATTTTTTCTTAATATGCACCTACTGAATGTATGAAATTGAAAAGACTTATTATAGTTGGCAAAAAACAAAAGACTTATTATAAATTCTAAACTTCTCATTAATTAAATTAGTAATAAAATAGGCATAAAAGGAAAAAAAAAGTAAATTTAAAACATGAATTACTGGAACAAGGAAACGGAAAAGGGGATGATGAGAACTATTTTTGGCACACATGTTCTCCTGTTTTGCCTTTTTGGGAGTGTTTGGAGTCCAAAAGTAATTAACAATATGCTTTTTAAATTAAGACAAAAGTCTTCTCGTATACTTATTTTATATGCTGTAAAATTATTTCTAAAAAATTAATTTAAACACCCTGAAATTTTAAGTCAAATTGAAATGACTTTAGACCATACCTAGCCGCACTCAAATTAAAAAATAAGAATTCTATTATGCTTTTGTTTTTTCAATCTTTTTTAAGATTACAATTGTATGATTGCCACGTTTCCTCCAAAAAAAACAAAATGTTGTCTCAGTGTTTCATGTTCGGATAATTTCTCTGCACACGCTCTGTAAACCACGCATTCTATCATCAAAGCCAAGCCTAACAAGCCGGTTGATGGAGGTGCTGTAGCCGCGGCCTAACACTTGTATATGTATACAACTTCACTCTGCTTGCTTCAATCAGAAGTTGAAGCTTGAATTGAAGCTATAACCCATATGGGAATCCATTTCTCTTTCTTGCTTCTTATTCCCTTCCTCTTAATATTATTGTTCCTTGGGCTCACAAGGCCAAAGAATAATAAAGCTAAGATTCAAATCCCAGGGCCATGGAAGCTTCCTGTTTTGGGAAACCTTCATCAGTTATTAGCAGCGGCAAGGTCGTCACCTCCACACCATACCCTTCGAGAGCTGTCTCTCAAGTACGGACCTCTCATGCACCTGCAAATTGGTGAGCTTTCTACAGTTGTTGTCTCATCCCCAGATATGGCCAGGCAGATCATGAAGACCCATGATCTTGCCTTTGTTCAGAGGCCTCAGATTACCAGTGCCAAGATTTTTGCTTATGGATCAACTGGCATAGTTTTTGCTCCTTATGGTGATTATTGGAGACAGATGAAAAAAGCATGTATTTTAGAACTCTTAAGTGCCAAGAAGGTCCAGTCATTCTCCTATGTCCGACAAGATGAGGTACTGATCTTTTAATAAGATTACAATTTCTTATTAGATACTCTAGCAGGATAATTAGATCGATAGTTATTATATTTCAGCATTAGTTTGAACCCTTTAAGCTTGTTATTGCATCAGGTGTCTAAGTTGATAGGGTCAGTTCGATCATCAGTAGGTTCGGTTGTTGATCTCACGGACAAGATTTACTCTTTGACAAGTGCTATAGTTACAAAGGTTGCTTTTGGCAACGAACAAGAAGAGCTTCTGCAACCACTCCATGCAGCAATAGAAGCGGGTGCGTATCATTTTCTTGATTTCTTCCCTTCACTGAAACATGTTCCTCTCATAACTGCGATGGAAGAAGCAAAGTTGGTGAAGATTCATAAGAAGATAGACAAGATTTTAGAGGATATTCTCAAGGAGAATCAGAAGAAGCAGATCAGAGCAGCAGGAGGAGGAGGCTGTGAGATTACTGGTTCTGGGGAAGAAAATCTTGTTCAGGTTCTCTTGCGAATCCAGCAAAGTGGAAGCCTTGATATCACAATCACAAATGACAACATCAAAGCTGTTATTTGGGTCAGTGCTCCTTATCTACTATGTTGATCTACCATAAAAGTTGATCCTTTTTTGTTTAAAGAAATTATGTGTGTCAGTGTATTTTGAGTCACACAAGGTAGCCAGTTCGCAGCTACATGGGTTTGATGATGCTTATGATCAATTTGTTTGGCATAATTACTGTAGGATATGTTCGGTGCTGGAACGGATACTTCATCAACAACAACAGAGTGGGCTATGTTAGAAATGATGAGAAATCCTAAAGTGATGAAGAAGGCACAAACTGAGATAAGAAAAGCTTTTAAGGGAAAGAAAGTCATTCATGAAAGTGACATGGAACAGGTTAGTTACTTAAAATCAGTAATCAAAGAAACTCTGAGACTGCACCCTCCTGCTCCTTTGTTGGTGCCAAGGGAATGCAGAGAAAATTGCAAGATTAATGGCTTTGACATACCCATTAAAACTCAAGTTGTAGTAAATGTTTGGGCAATTGGAAGAGATCCAAGCCATTGGTATGATGCTGAGAGTTTTATACCAGAGAGGTTCCAAGGCGACTGTAATATTGATTTCAGAGGAACAAATTTTGAGTACATCCCCTTTGGAGCTGGAAGAAGAATGTGTCCAGGGATTTCATTTGGTTTAGCAAGCATTGAGCTTCCTCTAGCTAGTTTGCTGTACCACTTTGATTGGGAACTGCCATATGGAACGAAACCAGAGGATTTAGACTTGACTGAAATCAGGAGCATTACCGCAAGAAGGAAGGCCAAGCTCTGCTTGATTCCAAAACTGTACAATATTGATCCTCCTTGTGACGGTTCTTCATGAAGTACTGTGCTGTGTGTGTGTGGGAAATGTGGAAATAATGTTATGTTGGACAATAACATAAAAAGCCTTTAATTTCTTTGCTAAGCAGAGTTCATGATAGATCAGCCTTTGTCCTTAAATGGGCCTGCGCGGTTTATTTCATGCCGTATCATTGGATTTCCTAGAATGTATCCTCATGCATATCTCATAGACTTGTTTGAGCTCGCTTGCCTGAACTTTGATTACATTATAGAAGGTGAGTTATATATATACTCCTTCTAGTCATTAATATAAGATCTAATTAGAAGTTGAATTAGATCTTGAATATAAGACATCAGTCCACTTTGTCTTCTAAATTTATAATTCATTCTTCAAAGTATCCCTATTGATTATATATATCAAGGGAGTTTCCATTCAAGAATAATGATGATTAAAAATAATCTTTTAGGAAAATCAACTTGTTACACATAACTAACTTAACTAATTTTATTAATATATCAAAATTAGTTAACAGCTCTTAAATGAGTATTGTTTTACTTTTCAAAACCATACTAGGAAAAATGTTATGAAGTACAGATTCTGAGGGTGATAGTCTGGCAAAGCAGCCCAATATATGGAACCAGTCCCTCGCAGGTGTGATATCAAAAGGGGAGTTACAACTTTTTGCAGAAGCTACATTTTGCTATCCTTGAAGCAAATACAAGCCAAAATCAGAGTTGCCATAATGGTTTGGTTCACTCTGAAACATTACCAATGGACTATAATCGTCCATTCTATATTCTATAAGATCAGTCACTTCGGAAAGAATAGAACAAAATAAAAAGGCATATAAGAAAAGAAAGTGTGCAACCACATAAATTCTACATCTCATTTCTGCATGCACTCCCAATTTTCTTTCTTGCTTTATATCTCCTTCTTCCTCTGGCTTCCCAAGCCAAAACGTAAAGCTAGGATTCAAATCCCCAGGGGTTGGCTCAAAGTATATATGTATCTGAAAATCGCTTTTGTCTCGACCATGAATCTGATAACATATGACGCAATCCTAGCAATGAGCCTGGTTAGTCCTCAAGTGTATGCATCCACAAGAGCACAAGCACAAGGAGGCGTGTACAAAATCCAAGTTTCATTGTCCGGGTTTGAATTCTGTATTTTGATTTTGTTTATTGTGATGACTTGAATCAATTTACTTTTATTTATCAACTAATTTAACTGTTGGCTAGTTTCTAAAACAAAATCTATCCCGCCAAACTTATCTCATCATTGTCATCCTTTTAGGCGAAGCTTTTTTTTTTTTTTGGTTATCAAAAAAAACAATTGCTAATGGTTTAAGATTGCAATTAAATGAACCTACCACTTCTTGCTTATAGGACAATTTTCATTACTATTGGGCTACTAGACTATTGTTTAGATGAGGTATAATTTTATATTACGATAATATTAAAACATTGTCTTTTTTTTAATATAAAGTATCATGTTGTCTAACTCATTATCTTAATTTTAATCTTATTAAATCATTTTTTTTAATTATATGGGGCTATAAAATAAGTAATACTAATTACTCCTACAATTTATGAATAATTTGATTTATTGTAATTTTTATATGTTATGTTAATTAACAGAAATATTGATATGATTAGGGGATGGTCAAGGTAATTTATATTTTCTTTTTTTTTGGTTGGTAAAAGGTAATTTATATTTTCTGAAAATGAAGCAAAATAAAAACAACCAGGGAGCCCGCGCCATTCACGTGAAAAATTCGAATTCGGACAGCGGCAAAAGAAGACAGTAGGCCAACGTATGACACGTGCATTCATCGGACGACTAGAAGCTCAAGCACATATTGGTATTTCCGAAACTCAAAAAACACAATCAATCAATCTCTTCCCTCCTTCTCCCTCGCTCAAACTCAAACCTCAACCAATCTGAAATGGCCTCTATCACCAAGCCTTCGTCCCGCTACAGTACCTACGATTCACGCTCCTCTGCCACTTCCTCTCACTTCTCCGACCCCTCTTCCTCCTCTGAGTTCAACCATAAATCCTCTGGTTCATCTTCTCGTGCTCTCGTTAAAGCCAAGCCCTCCGATCTTGCTCGAACCAGAGGCGGCAAGAGCAGTAAAACAGACCCCAGCCTGAGTACAATGGTGAGAAAGCTCATGGAGAAGAAATCCGCGGTGACAAAGCCTAGCTCTGGAGGAAACCAGAAGGCGGGATTGCTGATTCCGGCGGATTTTATTGCCGAGGATTTGAAGAAGAATGCGCGGAGGGCTACGGGATTGTCCGCATTGCAGAAGAAGCTCTTCGGAAAGCCGTCGTCGTCGGAGATGACGAAGGGGAAGGAGGTAAAGGCCCTCACGGAGGTGAAGGGAAACACAAGGACGCTAGCTATGGTGCTGCGGAGTGAGAGGGAGCTGTTGAATATGAACAAGGAGATGGAGACGGAGATTTCCAAGCTGAAATTAATGCTTGAGGAGAAGAATAAAGAAGTGAGTTGCGTTTTACTTTGTCTTGTCTTTTCTTGTGTTAAAGCTGTGAAATAGCCTTTGTTATTACCATGCCCTTATTTGACTGAAGAGTGGGGGGGGGGGGGGGGACAAAGACAAAGAAAGAAATCTGGAGATTCAAACTTACTTAGATGAGGAGCTAATTTTGGGCCTTTAGTTGCAATATAGCTAGCTTAATTTTGGTTTGACTTATTCCCCAACTGAAAGCCAAATCGAATTGACTTTAATTGTTCAATCATTGTTTGAGGGTTTAGTTTGATTAGATAACGGACTTTGAACAGTCCTTAATTAAAGTAGCTAAAAAGTGTGCTTAGTTTTGCAACCGAAACTGTAGAAGTTAGTTACTCTTCGGAGTCATCATACTTGAAGCAGCTAGAGGTCTCTAAGACTGACAAGTCATATTTCTATTCTCTTATAAAGTCACTCCTTGATTGAAATTTCAGGTGGAGAAGTTGAAGGATTTGTGTTTGAATCAAAGAGAAGAAATCAAGTCCCTTAAAAGTGCTATTCTCTTCCCTGATGTGATGAATTCTCAGCTCCAAGAACTTCTAGAGCAGCAAGGCTCTGAGTTGACGCAGGCAAAACAGGTCATTCCAGCTCTACAAAAGCAAGTCTCTTCTCTCACTGGTCAGCTCCAAAGCCTAGCAGAGGATCTCGCAGAGGTATACTTTCATTTGGATCCTTTTATAGACTCAACAAATTCTGCAATCATGCTTCTAAAATGCAAAAACTTCTAAGTTCTAACAATCTGTTAGGATTGCTTTTAGAAAACTAGGAAATACATGTAAAGGGAAAAGATGCTTTTGTGGATCAGAACTTTGACTTCCTATTTTCGAGAAAGAAGTAGAAAAGTAGGGCTGCTATAGGGTGACTATGGTCAAGGTTATGAGAGGGTTGTTTCGGAGAATGGGAAAGTCACTTTTTGGGATCTATAAATCGTCCTCTTGTGTTCAGCAGGGGTGTGGAGAATTTCGTATTGAACTTGGCTCTTGTGGGAAGGAGAGAGCCAACCACTCGAAAGTTCGGCAAGTCTGTTAGTTGGATGTAGTGTATCCTAACTGTGGTTTGTGGCTTATGTCTTTGTTTATTGTTTCTGTGCCTGTGGTGTAGTCTTAAGTTGTAGCTGTTATCCTCCCTTCACTGTGTAACAGAGTAGTGTTTGTTCTGTAATGAGTTTTTAGCTTTTGTTTGTATCTTCGTGTGTAATCTGTTTTATTATAGTAAAAGTTTAGAGTTTCTGGGTTGGGTCTTATCACAATCTTAACACATGTTGCAATGGCTATATCATATCCTAACAAGCATTTATGTTAGCATACTTTTACCATGAAGAGCTTTGATGTTCTACTTCAGGATTGGACTTTGAAATTTACTTGCATTGATATTTAATCTATCAGCTTGCTCGCCATTGTGATGAAAACATATTTTCGGTGTTCCTTTAAACTATAGGTATTGCTATTTCTTTATAAACTTGGCTATCTTCAGGTATTAGACACTCGCACTTAAGTTCATATGAGGTTGTATCTTGCATTTACGTTCGCATTTTTTTTTTTTTTAAAAAAAAAGAGCATAGAGAGCTTAAATGATCTATTGCAGATTGAACATTGAAATCTTCTTCCACTCGGATTTGATCTATCAGTCTGCATTCCATTGAGATGAAAACGAGACATTTTCGGTGTTGGTTAAACTATTGATATTGCTATTTCTTCCTGAACTTGTAAGAACGAATTCGTACATTTCAGACACTTGAGCCGAAGGAATTGGAATCATTATTGCTTTTTTTTTCTTGTATAGGTTAAGGCTGATAAGCGTGCAAAATCACGTTTGCAAGATCATGAAAGTTCTCCAAGAACACCAACAAACGCTGCTATTAACTCTTGGGTGAGTTTGCTGAACAGTGTATATTATTTACATATTAAATGTCACTCACAGGAAATAGAGTAGCGAAATTTTTTTTTTAAGTGACTATAAGTAGAGTCATATGTCTAACACGAACATTCAACACAAATCCATCAATGATGCAATTTTTTATTAAAGTGTTCTGCTTCGTAATTTACAACTATTGCTCACTATAGTGGTTCTAAAGATTCAACACATACTGCAATAATAAAATCTAAAGAAATATTTTGTTTAATCCTTTTGGCATTTTATGCAGGAACTCAGCTCTGATGATTTGACAATCCCAGGAAGTCCAGATGACTTGTTACTGAAGGATCTAAATCCTTGTTTAACACCCCGCAATGCAAAGTCAAAATCTAGGGTATAAAACTCTTGTTGATTTGTGAAATCACTGCAGCTATTCATTTTCTGATTTCTCTTTTTCTATCTTGCGTATAAGGTTTCTAAGTACTTGGAAATTAAACTTCCCTTGCACTATGTAGCAGAACTATATTCTTTCATCTTCATTACTTGCCAGTTTCTCATTAAATGTTTTTATCCTACAGGAATTTGAGTGTACAGGTTCAGGATCTTTAAATGATGAAAGCTTCTCTGAAGATGATGAGATTCAAGTATATCCTATGACAGACTTTAATGGTTATGGTAGGAAGCTATCCAAAAGCTCTGATTGTGGCCAGAATTACAGCCAAAAAGACATGACAACAAAAGCTAGCCGAAGATCCGATGAGAGCAAATCAACCTACGGAAACCGCATGAATCATCACAAACTACTAATATAAATTGTCCTAGTTTCAAGTTTTTATTGAGATTTCTCTCATTCATTCCTTGTCGTCATCATCTACGAGTTGTCAGTGTATTTCAGAAGCGGCAGACTCAAAATGTAAAAGTAAATTATTCCTTCTTGCGTATATGGTGGGCATATAAGGACAAGAATAAGACCACATAAGCAATAATAAATCCCAATATAGCTTCCAACTTAGAACATGATGCTTACCGTTAGAGTTGGTAATATGGGTTGAACCCGTGGGTTTAACTTATCAACCTGTCAAAAATAACGGGTTAGGGTTGGTTAAAAGCCAATCCGTCAGTAAACAAATCTTTTTAACCCGCATTGCCAGGCTTGCAACCCGTTACGGGTTAGCCTGTCAACCCACGGGCTAACCTGTATATTTTTTTTTATTTTTAAAATTTTTAAAAATTATTATAATTGTATTATTATATATGATATTATATATATAAAATTAAAAAAAATACCTATATAATTTATTTTGTATTTCCAATCAAATATTTCAAAAAAAAAAATAAAAATATCATTATATCTTTTTAAGTAATGAATAAAAAAATAATATTAAAATATTAAAAAAATTAAAAAAAAAAAAAGTAAATAACTGTTGGCGAGTTAGGGTTGGCTAAAAGCCAATCCGCCTTCAAACGACGCTTTTCAACCCGACCCATATGGGTTGAATCCATCACGGGCCAACCCGCAACCCGCAGGTTGGCCCGTATTACTACCCTTACTTATCGTGACCTACAAATTTAGAAAATGATACTTTTTTTATCTTTAATATAAGACTCATTTAACTAATTTGATTAGATTAAAAAAGTTAGGTAAATTAGTTAATTATAAGAAAAATGACATATTTTTTCTAAAATATTATAATAATATTTTTTAATATCTTTTTTTTTATTTGATTATGATTAAGGGAGTATTCATAAGAATAATTTTAAAAAAATTGATAAATATGAGAAATGGGTTTTATATTTAAAACTAAAACCAACTTAAAAACTGAGTTTTATATTAAGGATCGGAGGAGTATCTCATTTGAATTTCAGTCGTATTGACTTGTCTTTCAGTATTACTATATGTAAAATTTAAATATAATATAATGCTTGAAAATTCCTCTGTAAAGTAATTTGGGCTCTCTTTATTTTTGTTCTCAAAATCCAAAATTGTTTATTCAAATTTTGTTCCGTTCATTATGGAAGAAAACTATATGACCAGTTGCGATGATGCTCTTCGGCCAAATAATAAGCATTGCCCATAGAAGCCCTTCAACTTCGAACTATATAATACATACTAGATGATCATATAAAAATGACAATTTGGAACTAAGAAGGTTGTTGGATTAGCTTCTTCTTCTTCTTTTTTTTCCCCTAATAAGTGATTTAACAGTATATAAAAGAGGTATGTAAGAAAAAGTGTCTCAATTTATGTGGAAGATTTTTTTTTTTTCCCCAAGTGGTTTTATATGTTACCAAACATTTGATAAGGATATATTACTTTCGGTATTTGATATATGAACTAAATAATCAATTTATTAATATTAACAAAATTAGTTATGTTAATTATTTATAATAAATTTGTTATGATTTCTCTAAATCATCTTTAATCATCTACCTTTGAAGTATTCCTTGATTAGGAGTTTTTTAATATATACATACTTTGGGCAGCAATTATAAATTTGAGAGAAAAAATATATTGAAATGTTATATCTAGAATAAAAGATAATATTTGAATAAAAAGGAAAAAAAGGGAAAATGTGAATAATTTCTCCTCATCCCTAGTTGAAGAAAATATACACATACACAGTTACACACTAATTTTATATTTTACTATTAAATTCAATTGAAACACATCAAGTATCCATTTCATCAGGACTAAATTTCATATCATGTGATGTCTGGTCAAAAAAAAAAATCATGTGATGAAAACTAGGCTCTTGTATGAACTCAATAATGCATATATTGACATCATATATAAATCATCAAACATATACAAAGTTGCAGTGTTCACAAGTAGTGATCAATGCGACCTATTTTTTAAACTATTTAGTTGGACTATTATAATAGTAAAGATGTTGCCATGGTGATTCAATGGAAATAAGATACTATTGCAGATACAAATTTATAAGCCATAGTCTTCTAGACTCCTCAGTGCTCATGCCATTCCACGACTCTTAACAGTCCTAATGATCTGAAACAGAGCTGCCAAACATGAAAAAAGAGAGAGCTCGTAAATTCTTGTATTAATACAAGTTCATCAGCCAAAATGAATATATATATATCTAATATATTTTAGAGATATAAAGAGAAAAGAGTATTAAGTGTAATGAGAGAAAATGAGAGCGGACAAAATGTATAGGAAAGAGCATACAGGAACCGACGACCACAAAAATAATGAAGGCAAGAACAATAGGGCCCACAGGGTATCCTTTCTTGGACGAGGATTTCTTTAAACTGTTCCTCTCAAATCTTGCAACTTTCCTGTCAGCTACACGTCTTGAAGTAGTCTGTGAAAGGTTAAAATCCCAGTTACAATGTACACAACAAAATTAGACAAGTAAATTCCAATTCTATAAAGAATTTTAGAGTTCTTCTGTCATGAGATTTACCCATTTGGCTGAAAGATTGTAAGAACTGAGAAGGGAATAGATAGACAAGTGGGATTTGGTAGGCCATCCTTGTACATAGGTCCCACTCCTCTGTTTCTATTTCTCTGTTACAAAGGGCTGACAATTTTTTGATTGGTCTGCCTATTAATCCGCTGACCAATTTAAATTTTTTTTTTTTTTTTTGGGCTCAGACCAATTTAAATTGGTTCAGAATTAATGAAGTAATTGATTGATGAACCAATTAATTTAATTGATCAGAATTTATTTTTCATATTTATTTTTAAAATTTTGAAATTCAAAATATGACATTCAAGAGAAGCGGGTCTTGCTTGGTTCAATTGCGTTACTTCTTGAAAAAACTGACTAATTGTTCCCTTACTTTCTTATTTCTTGAAAAGGGAACATTTTTATTTTAAAAAATAATTATCTTTTAATTTGAAAGATAAAATATTAGTGAAGTAGATTTTATCAAAACACTGCTCCATATAATGCCAACAGTCACCCCTTAGAAGTGTGAACTTCAATTTCTCACTTTTAATGAACCAAACAAGATAGATTTCTATACTTCTCAAAAAGTCTAATTTCTCCTCCCCATATAATGCCAACAGGCACCCCTTAGAAAACCCATGTACTAAAAACTTTGCCATTCAATTTTTTCTCGCTCCCTCTGGTTCAATGCCATCTTTTGAGGAGATCAAGGAATTTTGCAAACCAGTGATGCAATTTTCTACACTGAACTTTATTATCAGAGGTCAATTCAAAACGAAGGTGGCAAAAAAGTTGAAGAAGATACACAGACAAAAACCAATAGCCTTTCAACCAAAAAGGTAAATAATTTCATCTACTGCTGCAAATTTCCATATAGAGGATACAAATACTTAAATGGCTCCCACAAATTCAGGTGGAACCCAAGCAATTTGTCCAAATTAACTTCGTCAAATTTCAAGAGAAATTTGAACCAAAAAAATTTATTCTGGGAGAGATCCAGGGATGCCCAAAAACTAACAGCTATCCATAATGATTTCGCAGACAAAAAAAAGTTGAAACTCGGACAAAATCCAATGACCCCACAAAACATTTTCGTCTAGAATAATTCAGACATTTACTTTCAATGACAGATATGTCAGTTAGTTCCATGAAAGACTAAACCATTAAGGCTTAAGGGGTGTGGCTTATCAGCATCATTGAATTGCAAGAGGACAAGGTCAAAACCTTCATAGTTTCTGGCATAGCAATTACTTTCAAGGCCAAACATGAAAAGAAATGACTGAAAAACGATCCATCTGGAAATCATGAAGTATTTCTGTGCCAAACTTATAGACTATGAAGGCAAATGAACACAGAGAGGATGGGGCAAGCAAATAAAGGGGGAAAATAAGCATTAGCAGCAAAACTTAACAGTTAATTTATTCAACAAAAAGACACATAAATATCATTTAAAAAACACACTTTGATGTTCATAAAGAAAGAATCATTTCACGCAGAATTCTAATTCTTCACAAGCATGGAAGAAAATGCAGATTAGATGGAACCGTTTACAGTTGCTTTCACCCAGAAAAGTGAAGAGGCTGGTTTTCGAACAGAATAAAATAGCTGATAATGGGTAATTCAAAAACAAAGGCTTTGAATAGGCACAAGCACCCAAAAAAAAGAAAAGTTTAGAAGCAGACACAGATGAAGGAGAAATAAAGTCAAAGCACCTAGATTTATTTAGAGAGGGAAAAAAAGGCAAACAGACATTGTTCTATAGAATAAACAAAAAAGTGCAGAGTAAGGAGAATCAGCCCATTATGAAAGATCAATGCAGTGACTGATTAATCACAAGAAGACGAAGAATCAAGAAGAAAAGGCGATAACTTTACCATTGTTGAGACCAGTGAAGGAACACGAACTCCTTTTAAGCTTCAATGGCGACGGAGGAGGGAAACAAACGGAGGGACGACGCAGATTGTTTTTCCTTCAGACCAACCGCGCCTCTTGTTTTATACGGAGAAAATAAATGTGATGTGACGTCAAAACGAGGTCGTTTCTTATTTGGTACGTAATTTGACTAATTTCTGATGGATTTTGCCAACCAATCCTGTCCTGAATAAAAAGTTAAAAACTTTAATTTTTGTTTCCTATTTTGGTTAGAGTTTATTTTTGGCAAAATTGCATTTAATGACCACATAATGAAACATTTATTATAAAAGATTTCATCATAGAAAAAATTATTGGAGATATACTCATTTATTGACAATGAAATTGAGATTTTTTAACACTCCCTAGTTGCAACACTTTTAAATAATTTAATTTAGATTTTAGTAATTTTTTATTAGGTTAAATTATACAAAATACCCTGAGCTATGTGTAAATACTAAATAAATCCCTAAAGGTCTAAAACTTGGCCCAAAACAATTCTAAATTCTCAAGCTTTTAGAAATAATCTATTTATTATTAAGTACCCTATTATTTCATTAATCCAAAGCCATAAGTTATGAGTCTTTTTTTATTTTTGGGTTTTATGTAGAAGATTCTTAAATTTTAAGTTATATAAAAATAATTTCTTTATGGAGTAACATACTTTTTAATAAAGTACATAGAGGCAGTGAATTGTCTGCGGAGTAATTTAAAAAAATTTCTTATAGGAAAAACAATTCATTATAATTTTACCTGATTTTTAATCAAATTTTGATAATTTTTATAAATACTTATGGTTTTATAAAAATAAAAAATAAAGACTTTATGTAAAAATTAAATTAATTGTCTTACGAAATGGATAAGTTTTATAGCATTACAGGTGTCAGTGTAATGATGACTTTTTTCTTCTTTTGACCATCCAATGTAATGATGGCTAAGTTTTTTGAAATATAAATAAGTGAACAATAAGTTTGACTAATGATTTAATTATAAACAATATAATAATCAGTCCCTGCTAGAAACTTCAATGCCAACAGTCAGCAGATGCGGTTTCATATCAGAATGTTTCCTGATAACGCCTCCAGAAGAAAAGCATAGAACTATATAATTTAGGAAAAATAGCAAATAAAAACCCTTTAATATATAAAATTGTGATTTAAGACTTTTAATTTAAAAAATAACAAATAAAGACCCAGTCTCATATTGCAAATATGAAATTTTAGTGAAATATCTGAAATACCCCTCAATCAAGTTATAATTTGATTTGCTGAAATTGTCATTCGTTAAAATAAACTTGTCATTTCCCATAGTCAACTTATCACGTGGCATACTTTTAGTCAAATTGTGATTTAATCTACTGAAATTGTCATTCATTAAAATAAACTTGTCATTTCTTATAGTCAACTTGTCATTTGGTCATAGGGCATTTCAGACATTTTACAAAAATTTTATATTTGCAATATAAAACCGGATCTTTATTTGTCATTTTTCAAATTGAGGGTCCATAATCACAATTTCACATATTGAGGGGTCTTGATTTACTATTTTTCTATAATTTAGAACATGCTTTATCAATTTAGTAAAACCAATTCTATATAATTTATAAAATTATAATTTGTAATAAAGAATTACTCTTTGATTTGGGAAATGAACATTTCATTGTGAGTAGATCTTTTGTGCATCATATTTATCTTATGGCACTTACATTTTATCGATTATGTTAAGTTCGTGTTTGTTTGAAAATGCCAAAATCTTTTTAAAATAATTTTATTAAACTCCGATTACACACACACATATTGAACACTTTACTTCTTTTTTTTTTTTTTTTGACCTGAATTGAACACTTTACTTTGCTCCTTCCCATTTCTGTCTATTTTATATGTGTTATTTCTTTTCAACAAAATACTCTTAATTAATGCTTATAGTTGAATCTACTGAAAAGCCGTTAGTTAAGATATCTCATTAAATATTAAAGATAATTGTAAAAGAATAAAACAAGTTATTAACATATTTACTATTAATAACTAATTTAATTAATTTTCTTAGTTCTTATAAATTAGTTAAAAGTATCTTGTAAATTAATTTTCTTACTTCCTATAAATTAGCTAGAAGTATCTTGTATGAAAACTAGAAACAAAGGGAGCATATTAGCAGTTTGGAACCTCTCCTTTTTTTTTTTTATAGATAGACAATTTGAACCATATCATTGTTAATTATAATGTTCTCTTTTTATGCTGAAGTTCGGGCCCAAAAAAAAGAAGCATACTCAAAAAATAAAAGAAGTTATTTTTAATCAGATATGATTTTTCAATTTGAGTATTGCTCTTAATTTTTTACCAGTGCTTTTATTGTAAATTAATTATAGTTGTTAATTTAGTTTATTAGAAAATAGGATGGGTATGCATTATTTTATTAGTTTGGAACAATAGCATCTTCAATGAAAAATGGGTCCAAAAATGGTATCTTTAACTATCTACAGTACTAAAAAAAAGAGCATATCCTATAATGTAGTGAATCAAGGTTGAATCCCTGTTGAGAGAGGTGTTCACATTTAGTATCCAGCAGTGTCTTAAAAAAGATTACCTTCAATAAAAGAATACCTATCTCTAGAGGGGGAAAAAAAGGTCTATTGAAACCTTATGCATCAGCATCATCCGGTTATAAGCAGCCATGCTTCTTCCATTATTTGACCGTGGATGTAAGGGTTATTGCGCCAATGGCCTTCTAGTCAAGTAACATAAAAGCTCCATTATAAATGAAAAGTTACGGATTCGAACCTGTTTATAATATTTTGTTAGGGCCGGTTAATTTGATGGATTAGGAATAAGAATAGAAATCTTCATTTTTTTCTACCCCTTTTTTTTTTGGTCATGAATAAAGGTAGTTTTGCACATGATGCATAAATTAAAGTTCTGTTATCATGCATGTTTCAGAGAATGGCAAGTAGGAAATGTATCTTCCTTCTGTAACTTCACTATATCACTGATGACAGTAAGGAGATCCACACTCTGATATTGATATCAGCACAAATCTCCATTATTACATTCACAAACTAATTAATTACCATCATATCAATTTTGAAGAGAACATTAAGAGAATGAAAGGATAGGTCAGAAAACTAGATCCATGATCAAATCCCCAACCTAGCAACCTGCATTTTGGTTGGGCCTTTGTGATGACCACCATACAAACGAAACAGTGAGAAAGCAGAAACACAAGAGAGAACCACCATACTCATGCTAACCACTAAAGCGCAAGCCATCCCTTCTCCCACTTGCTTGCAAAACTTTCCGTACATGTTGCATACTCTCATCCACTGTAACTCTGCTTGCCCCTCCTTCGCAAAAACCGCCGACTGAGCCGCAGCCACCGCAGCCGCCACCATCATATATGCAATTATCTGCATAAATACCATTCATGCTATGTAGTTCTGGCTTAAGGACAAAGTTCATGACTCTTGGCTGGTTCTGACTTTTTGTCTTTCCGTATTAATGTCATGTTGCATTGAAAGTTAATTAGACCCCACTCTTATTATGGGTTTCCCTTAATTAGTAGTACTAGTTTGAAATAGACCTACGAGTCATTCTTGGTCAAGGCAATGTAGTGTTATAGCCAATGAGCCGGAATCTGAGATTGCGAGCCTTACATCATTGCATATTATCAATACTAATGAAATGCTTTTTGATACTTTACTGCTTTGTTCAGTTTCTGGTTTCTGACACAATTGTGTTGCCTTTCTGGTTTTATTGATTCTATGTTGATTTTGGCGTTTGTTACTGACTTGTGGTTGTTGTTCTTGCTGATATAAATGAAATTACACAGTTTCTATGCCAAAAAGAAAATGGCCTCATAGAATATTTACCTGATCAGCAGAGAAAATGAGCCAAGCTATGGGCTTGCTGATGAGCACGCTTCCTCTGATCATACTCACAACACAACGCAACCCTTGGATTAACGAGTAGACAGCAGCTATCATATTGGCCACCACGAAGAAACTGCAAAATGGGATTCAATGTCAGGATACACACACACACTCATTTTTAAAAGAACATAAACCAGAAAGAAAGGAGATCAGAATAATAGTTGTATGGTTTTGATGAAGAAGAGCTTACACTAAGGACTTCATGTCTGTGAACTTGGCTTTCTTCTCAACAGAGAAGACTTGTTTGAGCTGAGTATCTGTGGCCACAAGAACAGCTGCAAGAAATCCCAGACACAGAACCACACACCTCAGAACCAGCTCAGTGATTTTGATGCTTCTATCCAATTCTGATGTGTTTGTGGTATGGCACATTGGGATAGTTCCAGGACTCACACTCATATTCTTCATTTTTGTGTTCTCTTAGAAATAAGAACGGCGACAGAACCAGAGAGAGATAGATGAGAGCTTTTCAAACCTGTTAGCTATCAACAGAACTAAACACAACACCCACCACCATGAGCTCCACTCACACCTCTATATATAGATCAGTTAAATATTAAAATAATATTATAAACTAGCTAGCTAGATCAATCAATCATAAATATAAATTCGTAAAGTGAATTTGATATCAGGCCGACAAAAATATTGTGAAGAAATGTATATCCCACTTGTTCATGTATTTATGTTCAATTAGTTTGATATATTAAAAATAATTTTCTTAAAAGAATATTTAGATGTCTAGGGAAGGATAATATGTCAACCCCGAACTCATTTGGTATGCCATTTAGTATTTCATCTCGTCCATATCATGCCATTGGGTTTGCTCACACAATATTTTTTCCCCCTTAAAAATATACTAGTTTCGATTCTTAATATAAGACCTAGTTAATTAATCTAAAAAGGTTAAGAAAGTTACTTTACTTAATTATAATATATATTACATTATCTTTCTAAAATACTTATATGGATTATTAAATCACATATTAATTTATAAGTGAAACAAATTAGTATGAAGAAAAATGATAAATATAAGTAGTTGAAAATAATTTAGTAATTTTTTTAATTTTTTAAATTAGTTAATTGAATCTTATATTAATTAACAAAAATAGTAGTTTATAGAGTCATTGAATTCATAAATTGTATAGTGAGTTTATACCTTTCTGAATTAATTCTCGAACTCATTGGCCAATTTATATTTAATTTAAAATATATTTTTTAAAAAGAGAAAATTAATATTTTTATCATTTAAATATATGGGCCATGAGATGAGACCACATGTTGCTGGACACAATATGTTTTTAGTTCCCCAATGTTGGTACGGTATATGATATTTCCCTTTTTGCCAGCGGTATGTGTATGTATATCATCATATCTCCAACCATTCTTCCATAATATATCGTATGCTCATATAAATAAATTTTGGATCATCTATATTTTCTGTAATACTCATCTCAATTCAGATATAATTTAATATAAACAGGATATAATTAAAACAATGAATTCTAGACAAATTCTTCTACGCATTTGGCATTTGAGGCAAGTCATATAATGTTCAAAACCTATTAATAATATAACTTCCAATAAATATTATATTTTATATGAGCCAAAGTAGTAAAAATTTGCTGGTGACATTGAATTTTTTTTAAAATAATATATTATTATATTCCAAAACAGAATGATGAAAATATAAGTATGTGAAATTTTATATTCCATTTCATAGAGGAATCATTTTCGTAACTTTTGTGAATATAAATATAAATTAATTATATTTATAATTAATAACGAAATGAAAATTGATGCAAGGAGAGTGGAAGGGGAGAGATAAAGTGAGAATGAAGGAGGTGACTGAGGCCATACTGTGTAGAAAGCTGGGAGGAATGGATGGTGGCCTGATGAGCCATTAACTAATTTATGTCTCAGCATCAACATTTATGGGGCTGCTTCATTCCATCCCCTAGGACCAAAAATGTGGCTCTTAGGGCTCCTTCAGGGCTCTCCTACAACTACAAGAATCAGCATCTAGATGCACCTAGAATCCAAGACAATTTCAGGACATGTGGTGTTCAATCTAGATAATACTAGTACTGATCCTTAATACTACCCCCGTCCTTAATATAAGATCCTGTTTAACTTTTATTTTGATCCTAAATATAAGATCCCAATCTATTTTGTCTCTCATATTTATACATTTTTTTTCCAAAGTAGCCTTTCTAACAATAACAGTTCTAGTCAATACACTTGATCAGTAAGAATATTTTAGGAAAGATAACACCTCTTTAGGACAAATAACTAACTCAACTTACTTTTTTAATCTCCTCAAATAAGTCAACTGGCTCTTATAATTAGGACCAGAGGTAGTATAAGATCTAATTGAAAATTTGATTTGGTTCTAAATATAATATATCAATCTATTTTATCTTCTAAATTTATAATTTACTCTCTAAAGTATTCCTATAGATTACACATATTTAGGATAATGATAATTAAAAAGTGTACTTTATGAAAATTAATTTATATTTGTGACAAATAACTACTTAACTATTTTCTTTAATTATGAAGTACCAAAGGTAATCAAAAATTAAACAAATCATTGTTGTCAATCATTTTACTAAAGATGCAGCAACAACATGCTTTATCTTATTAGGTGCGATTAGTTATAGAGACTATTAAATGTTATCCTACTCTAATCAATAACCAAATATTTGTATATATTATTAACTAAAAGTTTTTATTCAATATTTTCTTTTTAGTCTTTCTTTCTCTCGTTTTCAGAGAATTTAATTATACTCTCTGATCTACCCTTCCCATAACGTCTCCAACCGTTTCCTTCAGATTGAATACTAGAGGTGGCATATTTTAATAGACCTATAAGAAATCATGTTTTGGAATATTAGAGATTAGATTGATAGAGATTAAAATATCACTATGGATCATGTCTATAAAAAGTTGATGAATGTGCCAACTGGTTTGCCAAATCCGTTCAAACAGTGATGGTGATATTTTTAAACTTCCCTTACTCCTTAATTGTAAGAATTAGAGGAGTTGGATAAATGAAGATCTAACTATTATTTTCATATGAGCTCGCCTATAGCCTTTTATTTTAAAAATGAAAATAAATATAAAAATGAAAAATGGAGAAAGATTATTCCCTCATCTTTCTTCCAAATAACACCTCTCAATCCCTGTATGTTACAGAGTTTAAGATCGAAATTGGTGTGATTCATATCGATACATTTTGCACTCAATCATAATAATAAAAGTTTCACAGAAAGTGCTTCCTCATGTCCTACCTACCCACACTCATAGTTCTAACTACCCCCAAAGGCAAAGGCGAGAATGAAAGAAAAGAGAATTTATTTAAATGTAATCAATATAAAAATTTATGATTTGAACACCAATACCCACTTCTGAGTAACCTCATTAAGATCAGTGGTTGAAAGTCTCTAGTTTTTCTTCCCTATTTATTCATAATATCAAATACCTGAGACCCAAAAGCAGTGTATCATCTCTCTCTCTTAATCTCTCAATGGGTTTTGTTCAGTGTCTCTTCATACTTGTTTTCTCTTTTCTGGGTTCACAAAGTCACAGAGCCTTCATCCCATGAACCAGACGACATAGAGGCAGCAACAGAAGACATGAGATCAAAATCATACCACGGATTCGCCATGCTTTTGAAGATGTTGAATGCGACATCACAGGCAAATCAAGAGCTGACTTTCTTCATGCCAGATGACAGAGAATTTCAGCATCCTCCATTGCAGCATAGAATTGAGGAGTTCTTGTTGAGCCACGCCATGCCATGCCTTTGTATTTCAGTGACTGATTCATTTCCCTATTCCTACTGGCACCTTGTTCCTTCTGGGATAAGGAACAAGATGATGAGAATCCATAACCGTGGGAGGGGAGCTTTCTTCCTCAATAATGCACAAGTCACCACTGCTACATTTGCTTGAGTTCTTTGATCAAATGCCATGGCATTGATGCTATAATTAACTACGATTCTTGATTCCAGAACTATATGATTATGAGCATCTTGGAGGTGCAATGCAAGCCTGGTCGAAATAAAGCCATTATTGCTCTTTATTTTATGCTTTTTTCCTTCAAGTACTTATATCATATGTGTTTGCTGTTATATGTTGAGAAAGCTAACTAACTCTCACTATCACTAGTGTGTACTATTTGTTTATAATGTAAGCATTTATCTTGAGTTAGTAGCACTAGACTTTTGTTGATCATTCGTTGAAAACACTACCAAATTGATTAGTGGTTTTGGGTAATACTTAACCCCCCAAAGAACAAAGTAAGTGCCAGTACCATAGATCCAACAACACGAGAAGTTGATGAACATTCAACTTTTATTTGAAGAGAAGTTCAGAGCTTGTAAAACTTAAACATGAAATGAGAGTATTGGATTTTAATTGATTTTGAGATGTCTACGTTGAACGGAGCTGGATTAAAGAAAAGTACCGCATACATGAATCCTCTCCTTGTCTAGGAGAATCTCCCAATATATAATGCTTTCTTGGGCCCAAAAAGTAATATCAAAGCTGATTCCAGCAAGACTTATCCACAAGCCAAGTTCAGCTATTGATCCACACAGCTCCCAGTTATACGGAGTTTGCTTTAGCCAACCACGTGCATGGCGTAATTTGAATCAGAGAAATATGTAAAATGTTTCTGAATAGAATAGTGAGGCATTGAATAGAAGCATATGTAGAATTCCTTTATTTTTATTCCCTTTTCCAAGGCACGTTTTTTTACTACTGTAAGTGATCTCTTATGGAAAGTACTTAGCTTGGTAGTCCCCGTGAGAGCCAGAATAGTGCAGATAGGATCAATGCTCCTCATATTCACTTGAGATATGACAGCAAAGAGAACTGTCAATTTTAGAATACATCCTGAAATATCTCAACATCTGCTATATTCTCCATTAATATGTTCCAAATCTTAACAACAATAACTAGTAGTTACAGATAGCTAGGGATAACTAAACTGATGACAAAACATGCTCATATATATTCATGCCACCTTGGTGGCCAATGTATTACCATTTTTTTTACATCAAAAGAGTTTGAACACTGGACAATTACCCATAGCTCATCCCATTCTTGCAATTGAACTTAACTCATGTAATCAAACAGATGATCCGTTTGGATCTACATTAGCCAGCAACAGATTCCTTCCTTTTTTTCTTACCCTTTTTGGTAATGCAATCAGACAATACCTGGATAAACATTTTTTCCAATCGCCGAGATATATATTTATACATCCGTTTTATAGATGAAGAGAAGTATCAACACCAGAATCAGAGCCACAATCATAAACGTTGTTCCAAGGAGCCTCGGGAGACTGTGTTTGAGAATAACTATTAGTTGACATGTTGGCTAGGTACCAAAGCTGGGGTGGAACTCCTGCTTGTCCTCTGATGGAGGCCAAAGCGTGAGAGAAACATGGAGGTGACCTTGAACTCGAAGGATTAACAAAAGAGCTTGAAGTTTCGTGAGTCTTAACGTTGGAAGGAGTGAGAATTTTGAGGAGCTGTCTCTCCTCCCCATCTCTTTCTTTCTCTGCAACTCTCTGAACCTCTCTTGCAGAAGAGCAGCTGTGGAGTGAGCCTTAGTGGCCTCATGCCTTTCCCTGCTTCCCATGATTTTGAGCCTTGAGGTAAGAGTTTTTTCTTAGTTTTTTCCCCAGTGGGGTTAAGGCCATCGTCAAGAATTATAGATGAACAGAGAATGTTGTTGTCAAACCAGAAAAATTTGAAGCAGAAAGAGAATCGGCAGAGTCCAAGAAGAAGGTGTTGATTGCCCAATCTAACAGGGCTGTTCATACTCTTGGACCCTTGCGTGAATGTTGGAGGGGAAAGGCATGATTACATTATGATCATTTGCTAAACGACTAAGAGGCTCACTTTTATATATTGTGGCCATTGAATCTCCAATAAATGTTTAAAATAAGTGTTCCCCCCCCCCTTCCCCTCCCTATAATTTTTACTTAATCTGTGATTCAGGTTTGATGCTTAAAAAATGTAGTGATTTTTTAATTTAATTATACACGGTTTGAAGCAATTCTTATTCTTTGTATTGTTTATGCTTGTCATGATTAATATCAACAGAAATATTAAAGATAATAGTGAGGGCTAATACATTGTTTCAAATTTGAATCCATGTAAATGCATAGCATCAATATAGTTGTTGGATGATAAATGAAATTGAAATTAGAGCAAATTTAGAAAGGTAGAATGAAATTTGAGTAAATCAAATGAAAAATATAATTTTTTATGCTCTTAATACTTTCAGAATTATTATGAGATCCAAAAAGAAATTAATTATTAAAAAATCATAATAACAAGTGAATAGCTGAAATGTGTTATTATTTTCCTTACCAAAACTTTGCCATTATAAACTACTGAATTGTTATAAGACTTTGTAGTAATCATGTTTCTCTTTTCAACCTTATGGCATTCTCCCTTCCCCTTCCCATTTCTTCTCTCCTATAAACCCGTGCCACAAACCGGTTTGAAGGCGTCTTTGACTCTAACAAGCACATATGAATTGGTTTTAGTAAAGTTGATGAATTATACAAATCAATGACAAAAGGTATAAAAAAAAAATGATTGAATTGAAAGATATTTAAACTATAGGAATTATTATTTGTTTAAAAAATGAATTAAATAATACGGACAGTAGAAAAAAATAAGAAAGGGAACAAGGGGACAGAAAAAGCCAAAGAGATAATTAAAAAGGGAGAATAATGTGACAAGGTTAGATTGAAAAACACCAAATCACGTCCCCTCATTCTTGCTTCAAGCACTTGGCTGCCCATTTCAGCTTCAAACCACTCTTTTGATGCTTCTTTCTTGTTTCAACCACTGGAATTGCCTCCTCTATTCCATTCTTTCACTTTTTTTTTTTTGGACTCATCCCCTTCTCTTTTAATTTACTGGCTTTACTACATTTATCAAACTAACTGACTGATCCACTAACAGATTGGTTGGGCCCCAAAGGCCCAAACAATTACCCCATAGGCCCATTTAACATTGCCCTTTTAACTATTTTTACCAAATTAACTAAATGAAAAAGATTTCTACAACTCCCTAAAATCACCCTTAAAAAAAAGTCACTGTTGAAGCTAATGGAAAAGAGTCATAAATGTGTGGTTTAAATTTGGTAAAATATCATATAATTGTACACCCACAAAGAATCAACTGTTCCCTTTTTTGTATCATTAATCCTTTTTTTGAAGATTAAAAAAAACGGATTTAAATCTAAAATCATGTGTGGAATTAGCATGTTTATTGGAGTACAGTTGGTTCTGGTTCTGGTTCTGGTTCTGGGGTGTGAATGGTGAAGTGGTGCATGATCTGAATGGAGGGAGCAACATGATAATATCACGTTTTGAGAATGCTCATTATTGCGCATGCACTCATATTAGCAGACAAATTTGATAGAGACCCGACATGAACTTAGAACACGAAAACATTTTTGTGGGGAAGAAAGAACATACTAATTCAAAGGCACTTTGATCTCTCCATTTGAGAAAGTCTTTTGCAACCCCGATATGGAATGCTCTCAATTATGCAGTGAGTCTGCTTTTAGATTGCGATAAGGTTTTAATGCAACCAATCTGCTCATTTGATCACAATCAGAATAACAAGCAGTCAGAAAGTCAAGCACCAGATTTGAGCTCAGATTTTGGAACCTGCTGGCTCGCATTTGGGCCTGAGTTTTTTCCACTTCCATATAGCACAGCACTAGGCTTTAGAGCAACCTAACTCATTTTTATTTTTCAAAGATAGTTATTTGGTTCGATGTATTACCAGACGCTAAATGAATATTTCTTACAGTGGGACTCTGAACCAGTTCATGATATTATGAGAGAAAAGCTCTTTTGTTTGGATTTAATTTCTACTAGTCGTTGTTTTTGACGTATGTTCTAATGGCGTGAGATTAACATCATGATTGAATTCTCTGGGGCTATAAACTCATTGATAACTCCTTACTCTTCTATTCTTTTGAACCGTTTAAAAAAAAAAAGAAGTATATTTTAACTAATGATTTAAACAAATAGTATAGAGATTGGATTTGGATCATCTCATAATCCTTCTTTCTTTTTTCCCCCCTTAGAATCTCATCTTTATTGTTTGATCAAATAATAGATAGTTTAGATTTATATTTTAAAAAGCAGATGTCTCCACCTTCTCTTTCCTGTTTATATAATGTTATAATAATAGTTTTATAAAGTACGAAATCTGAACCATTCATTATTTGATCTAATAGTAAAGATCAGATTTTAAAAAAAAAATCTGGGAGAATCCAAACCCTAGAACTGTATCCCTTAGTGAGCTTACTTAATAAGAATTAATTACCTATTTACTCTCATTATAAATGCAGAAAGTGTCAGAGCGGGCTCTAAAGGAAGCGATCATGCTTTATTGTTCCATTTATTACATGAGCATCGTCCCTTTATTGTATCTATCTGTGACCTTTTAGGACCAGCATGAGGCATTTTAAGAGGCCTTTATCCGCATGATCACACCCTTGAAGGCCACGTAAAGTTTAGGTCAAAAAAGGGTCTTACAAATTTTACGGTTGATAAAATTTTGATTAGTGCTTTTCTCGTGTTGGGGAAAAATTTATCTGTCAATAATCCGAGTTAAAACATGTTATTTGAATAATTAATGTACTTTATTTTTTTCTGAAGATAAAAAAGGCCGGGTGATGATTACTTTTCTCTGTACCTTTATAGACCTGTTAGCTATTGACCGATTGCCCTACAATGATAACGTGGAAGATTGTTCCAAACGGACTTATGATGACATAATCAACTGCTTCCCCAATTGAAATCCTCGTTTAAGAAGCCGGCTTTATCTTATTGACTAAATCTCTTCGAAATCTATCTTATGATGACTTGACCATTCCACAACTTGGACTGCTTATAACTAATCACCTAA